TGGTGGAAAATCTAATGGTAGTTTTCTTTTTTTCTCGGTGTGTGTGTGTGTGTGGGTGTGTGTGTGTGTGTGTGTGTGTGTGTGTGTGAATATTGCATTCTACATCTGTCTGTTTTTTTGGCTAGCCCCGAAACAGTTTTAAACACTTCTTGGTCCTGCAAATATATCTATTGATTTTCTGTTTCCTCTAACAGACCAAGCTGTCCAGCAAAAGTGACAGTTACATGGGTTGGGATAAAGCTTATAACACATATGGCTTAAAGCAGGGCTTAAAATTTCGAGTCTAGACCTACTAGCCAGGCACAAACCTTACTCTCCACCTGTTGCCCCACCCAACCTTGACCAGGTCCACCTCCAACCCAACCCCCAGCCCATCCCCCAACCACACCCCCTTGGCGCTTAAAAGTAGAAAACATACATGGTGTGCATATCCTGACAGTCTGTAATAATTAGAGACTGTCAGGATATGAACACCATGTATGTTTTCTACTTTTAAGTCATGCATTGTTGTACTGCAGCTCAACCTCACTGAGTCTTTCGATTCTTTTTATCAAAAAATAATTTGTTACAATAAACATTTATTGTTTTATACCTGTGTACACACTTTTTTGCCTTTCAAAGTCCCAGCGTGATATTTACATAGTTGCTGTCTGTTTCAATATTTGGGATGTTGGCAAAAACAGTGTAAATGGTGGGGCATTGTACCCAATTTCCTAGTCTTTGTAATCTCACCAGGCCAGACACAGAAAACAGTAAAATACATAAGTTCTAGCCCTTTTTCTCTCTATACAAAACTTAAAACAATTGAGTGGTGCTCCACTCTAACTGTGACAATGAGTAACGACCTGAAGTGTGCATGCAAGCAGCTCACCTTAAGCTGGCCATACACAAGTCATTTTCCCCCAAGGCGGTGGAGAGCGGGCCTCATGTCCCCCAAGGCGATGCAGAGCAGGCCTCGTATCCCCCAAGGCGGTGGAGATCAGGCATCTTCTCGTGTCCCCAAGGAGGTGGAGAGCGGGCCTCTCCTCGTATCCCCCGTCGCGACGAAGAAGAAACTGGAAGTCGGAAACCGGAAGTCGCCTTCACAACGAGGCTTGGAGCACAAGTGGAACGCAAATCAATTCCCGGAGCCTGGGGATCACATTGCAAGCCACCCACTCCATTGCAAGCAACCCGCACCATCTGTGTTCACCACAAAGGGATTTCCCCTCGCATTTGGCGAGCTTAAATTTCAAGCCCTGGCTTAAAGAACTCCCAGCTTTTCTGAAGCAGACTTTTTTTTTTGTAATCCCGCCAGTCCTGATCCAGTTTTGTTCTTTGTGCTCAGCCGGCCCTGAACTGGATAGCCTTTCCTCTGAAAACTGGTCTCTTTGCATTGGGCATCGCAGTCCCATTTAGTCATATGGGAAAGCTGTACTCTGAGCAACCAATTTAAGCCATCATGAGTATGGCTATTCCATTGTAATTTATCAGAGGAAATGACATGTCCCTAGGAGTAGACCTGCCCAGTGAAGTTTGCTGGATTGAGGCTGAAGGTAAATTTAAAAAAAAAAAAAAAAAAAAAAAAAACCTGATGAAGACACGAGGTACGTGACGCAACGCGTTGGTACGCCATTTCCGGTACGAGGTGACGCACTTCCGGATGCAGCGGCCATCTTGCTCTACCCTGTTACCATGCAGCACACCCATAGGATGTGGTGACAGGCGTTTTTTGCTGGGAGTACATGTGAGTGCAATAGTAGTTTTGTTTACTTTCCAATAAAAAGATTACTGCACTATGGAAGGATCTTTGTTTTGTGTCTTATGTATATGGCCTTGAGTGGAGGTGGAGTGGATAAGGTGCGCTTGAGAGAAGTCTATATTCCATTCCATGGTCCCTTTGATGAGGATCGCAAATGAGAGGATCTGGTATTGTGAATCATAGCCTTTTGGCCCTGTGTGGGTCAGGGTGTGGAGGTGAGCAGGCATTGCTGCCATTAGAGGATCCCTTTTCTTTTTCACCAGAGTGAAGATCACGTTGGCACAGTTTCACTTGCATGGACTTTATGCTTTGAAATTTCACAGATGTTCTTTGTTCTATTTTTCATTTAATGTGCATATATTATTTATATATTGTGTGTTTATATCATATATTGGCTAATTAGCACGTGATGCTATCCTCCCCTTTTTAAGAATCACTATCACAATTTTCATTGGTTGTTCACTATATTTCAATGGTTTGTTCACTTTGAATTGTTCAATATATATTAATTGCAATCTTAGATTTTTCCACTGAGCACTACTGTGTTGGCACGGTTTGCAATAACAAAGCACATAGTATTGCACAAGTGTTAAATTTATATAGCGCTTCACTATTTATACATATTTTGTGTTTACACTTATTGGTTTAAGTTGAGTGGCAGCAGCTATAAGCAGATTTGTATCATCCATTAAAGCGCAGGAGGATATCTACATTCAATACTAGTGACAGAATGCAACATATATGCCATTTTTTAAATTTTGCTCATATTTACACTATAATCCAATCCCTGCATCAAAATGTACGTATTGGTATATTACAGAAACTTTTTAGGGTCACTTCACATGGAGCAGAGTCCACTCTGATGAGCGGGGGATCCCCCATTTAGGGGAGCCGAATGGGACAGATATCGGTGTTTTGACATCTGTGCCCATTCAGTTTCTGCCTGGTAGACCCCTGTCAGCTCTACAGGCAGCTGAGTGTAAACAGGCTCCCCTGTCCATTTACATCAGTCTACCTCCGATCCATTCCAGATTAATGGATGCAGCCCTTTTCTATTTTTTTTCCTGGCCTGGGTGGACTCAGAGCTGGGTGGGTGTAAATGAACACAAGTCGGTTTACATTCGCCTGTCCATAGCGCTCCATGGACCTTCAGATCAGGTATGCCTGAACAACTGATAGGTGGACCTGATTGGAATGGCTGTGTAATAGCTGTTATTTCCCTGACTAATGTGCCTTTCTGTAGCTAAACCAGGTGTGTTAAACTTTCTACTCAGGACCTCAAAATTGGGTGTACAATCAATTTACTCTTCTGGATTCTTTCGGAAACTCATTAAATCATATGTCAAATCATAAACCAAAAAACAGGAACACAAGGGTGTAATGACTTCATATCTTGATTCTACAAACACCAAAAAAACCAAAACTGCAAACTGCAAAAAAGTGGAAATGCTGTCTACATCAACAAATTGCTTTCTAGAAAGCAGACTCTGATTGGCTGCTTTGTGAATGTCTTTATTGTAACAGACTACTACACACTCCATCACTCAATTAGCCACCACCCTCCTGAACCCATCTATACAAACATGATAGCTGTGTTGAGCTTTAAGTAACACAAATTACATTTAAAGCACACAATATTCTTTAGTGTCTATCTTCAACTGTACAATGTGCTGAGAACAGCATACATCCACTGCGGCCTACAATAAATGCCAGATCAAGAGGTACCTGGTGAGACCCTATATGTTTATTTAATAGCAGCTCCCTCCCCAGAATGCTTTCTTAAAAGCAGCATTTATGTTTTGAGGTTATGTAGCTCCTCTGAGTGTGTCTCAATAAAAAGTGATAAATGGCAGCATTTAAAAGAAGCAGTCACCAGGTATTTCCATCACTGTCACTATTTTAATATCCCCAAAGTACATGCCCTGGCAGAGCAGTGAAAACTAGTTGTATTAGTTCAATCTGGAGCTGAGAGAGACAGCCTAATAGCTGGGTATATTATATGTTACCTGGTCGTTTCATGCTTGTGAAACATTGTCTGTGTGATTTTCTTACACAAGTGTCAGACAGAATAATACTGTCCTATAACGACTTACCACTTGTTTTTCTTGCGGATGTAGTCTTTTTCAGAGAGGTTGACTAGATAGATCATTGGCTTAGAGGTCAGGAATAAGTATTTATTTAGCACATCAATCTAAGGGGAAAAACAACAACAACCACACTATGAAAGAGTCTCATGTGCCAGCAAGTCCATAAAAATCAGCTTTAAGCAATGTTAGAATTAGTTTATTTTAAGTGCCCTTACAGCCCTATAAAGAGAAAAATAATTTAAATGCAAAAGGAATGCGGTTTCTATTATATACTATGTATTTTTCCATTTTGGATTGAAAAAAAAAAAAAAAATAAAAGTATGGCCCCAATCCAATCCTCAATAGTCTGTAATCATAGCGATAAGGTCTCTTGTACTTCAGGCAGCACACTATCACATAGCTAAATGTTTCAAATAAAACATGGAAGACAAACTTGAGTCATATGACAAATATTGCATCATGCACCATCTAGTGGATTCTCTATAATAATATACAGAAAATACTTTGGTAAGTGACAACAGCAGCTTGGCTGAAAAAGACAAACATGGTAGGTCTTGGGTCTTGAAAGGGTGTGGGGATCACTCTTCCACTGTCTCAAATAAAAGCAAGCTCAACAGGACCTTGACTTCTGCACTCTATACTCAAAATGCAGAAGTTAGCATTGCCTGAAATTGATTTTTAAAGCAAGATCACTCAAGACTGAACATGCAGTTGGAGGCCAGGTAAGTCCTGATAAAGGCAATAGCTGAACAATGGTCAAAGTGCGAATTCTTAAGACATATTTTTATCTCTTGTTTATTCTGCTTTGTGTTTTTTTAAAAAAAAAAAAAAAAAAAAAAAAAAAAGGTCTTCATTTATTTAGCAAGTGGTGCTGCACCATTGTTTCACCTTCATCCCTGGTATTGCTACAAAGTAACCAAAGGAAGAGAGAGAAAGGAGTCTGTGTCAGAGCAAAGTGATATCTCACTAGTTTCAATCTTTAGTTCTTGCCACTGGATCATGTGAGGATCAGGAGGCTTGAAAGTGTTGTGTATCACTAGGTCTATGGAAGCAGTGAAGGATACATAGCAATGGTGGGTTTCTTGTGTTCATGGATTGTCTACTTTAGAGTGTATGATGCATTTGACTTTTCTGTACTATAGTCTATAAGATGTGGATAATGACGTTCCTTAATACTTTCCGCCCGCCAAGACCCAGTCCTGTAACGTGACTATGACGTCCTACCATTCTTACTGTGCATGCGCAGCTCAGGGAGCGCGCAGCGCGGCGATCGCCGGTGCGCTGTGTCCGAGGATCACGAAAAGAGCCGAAGATGACGGCTCGGTCATGTGATCACCTGTGTCCAATCACAGCTGATCACATGTAAACATGGAAATGCCGGTTATCAGCATTTTCTCTCCTCTCGAGCGGTCACGCTGACAGCTAGAGAGGAGAGCCGGTAATCGGCTTTCCGCGGAGGGGACATGTACACTGATCATCAGCGCACTGATGATCAGTGTGCCCTGATGATCAGTGTGGCCCCAGAAGTACCACCTGTCAGTGCTCATCAGTGCCACGTGCCAGTGCCCATCAGTGCCACATATCAGTGCATACCAGTGCACATCAATGCCACATATCAGTGCCCATCTGAGCTGCCTTTCAATGTCACCCATCAGTGCCAGACAGTGCCACCTATCAATGCCTATCAGTGCCACCTATCAGTGCTGCCAATCAGTGCCACCTATCAGTGCCAGTCAGTGTCGCCTATCAGTGCGCATCAGTGCCAGTCAGTGCTGCCTATCAGTGCCATGTATCAGTGCTGCCTATCAGTGCCATGTATCAGTGCAGCCTTTCAGTGCCCATCAGTGATGCCTGTCAATGCCCATCAGTGCAACCTACCAGTGCCTCCTCATCAGTGCCACCTATCAGTGTCCATCAGTGCCACCTATCAGTGTCCATCAGTGCAGCCTATCAGTGCCCATCACTGCAGCCTCATTAGCGCACATCAGTGAAGGAGAAAAATCACTTATTTACAAAATTGTATAACAAAAACTAAAAGTTTTTCTTTCAAAACATTTTCAGTGGTTTTTGGTTTAAGAAAAAATAAAAATCCCAGAGGTGATTAGATACCACCAAAAGAAAGCTCTATCGGTCTCAAAAAAATGATAAGAATTTCATATGGGTACAGTGTTGCATGACCGCGCAATTGTCAAAGTGTGACAGCGCTGAAAGCTGGAAATTGGCCTGGGCAGGAAGGGGGTATAAGTGCCCTGTAGGCTAGTGGTTAATATACAGCTGTTACTAAATGGACAAAGTACCGGTTAGCTTTAAGCTAAAGCTAAGCAAATTAAAATAATGTATAGCGAATATACTGTATATATGTATGTCCTGTATTTCTAAACTGTTTTCTCATAGAAAAATATTAAAACGTATTCAAACCAGAACAATGAACATATCCTATTTGTTCAATTTTGGTCTCTTAAATGTACCACAAAAGCATTTTTTACGTCTGATCAATATATGCAAAAAATACCTATTGATTCTGCCTGAAATCCAGTGTGCTCCTAACTTCTTGTAATGAGCTGACAGGGCTGCAATGGAATCTCAAGCACTCTCTCTGTAAACTACACAATACTTCTTGCTATACTATGATGATGTGGAATGGGGAGGTGTTCTGTAATCTCAACTTTTCTTGTCTTAGGGTGACAACACTGCTCCCCCATAGATACAGTACAGTGAGTGTTGTCACCTAGGACAGGAAATTAGTAAAGTAAAATAGGCTAAAAAAGAAAACAAATGCAACCACCACATTTAAGAACTGGTATTGTGCAAAATACTGAAATATTGTTCCTGTGTTTAGACACACTTTTAACATTAATGCATCAAATGAGAAAGCATTGGAATACCTTGGATAAAAAAAAAAAATGAGGTGAATTTAAAATACTTTGCAAAGCAGAATGTCAGAAATTCAACTGGTGACATTCACATTTATTTCTGTGAGCTAGTATTAGGGTAACAGACATTTGAGAAAGAAGTTACACATAAATGAAACCATTACCTCCTTGTCATTCCAGTCATGGTAATAACGAACATGATTATTCTCATCTATTACCCAGGATTTGACTTTGCACATTATGTCCTACGATAAATTAAAAGGGAGACAAAAAAAGACAATAAAAAAACAACCGAGAAAGAACACTCAAACATGACACACATCATTTCTCACAACTTAAGCTAACATATACATTTAAAAAATAAAGTATTTGACAAATAATAAATAAAAAAAACAGCTCATTTTGCAAGTCACTTAAGCAATCAACAGCGTTAAAATTTATTTGAAACTACAACTAATTTTTCGTTTTGGACAGAGTGGCAAGGGGTCAGAACTTATGTCAGGTGAGGGAAATTCCAAAATTCTGAGTTGTCACATGGACATACTGGGGTGACAAATATCTCAAAGGAGATTTCCCTAACTTTGGAGATGCTTCTTCTCCATTCCAGTTTTGCCTACAGGACAAATGATGGGAAATCCCCCGAATGCGAAAGATAATAAACAAAAACATGGATTTTTAATTTGTAACCATGGCTTTGAACCATTCTGACATCTATCAAAATAGAAAACTGTATTTGGATAAATTTGAGGGTTGGTTCACACCAGAACGCGGCGTGGGAAACCCATGTTCGGAGCAGAAAACACGCACGGCATCGAAAACACAATGCAGTTGCGATCTGCAGCAGGTGTCAATATTAAGTTAATGACATCGCAAACACAGTGTGTTTGCCCGCAGCAGATCATATAGTAAAGAAGTACCATGCAATGCGGTTTCAGTGAGTTCCAATAGTAGTGCATCAACTACTTTTTGTGCGGTGCAATTTCATCCCATTCAAAATGAATGGACTGAAATCATACTGCACAGAACTGCATGTGAATTGCACAGGAATGTGGAGGGCGTTCCTGTACAATTTCTGGTGTGTGAACTGGCCCTCAACCATGAACTCTACAAAAAACGTCTTCATAGTTTGTGAAAATGTAGCATACTCCACCTCTAAATTCAACCATTCTCTTAAGGCTGCATTCACATTTCTGCATTCATTATGTGTATGGTTGCAATTTGAGATGTGCTGCTATTCATCTTTATAGAAGATGTGTTTTGCTGGTACCCATCTGTTTATGTGTGAACGGGCCCCTAGGCCTCTTGCACACTGCTACTTGAAAACGCTCAGTTTCAATGTGCCTGTACACACAGGAGCATAAACAAACACTGCATATTGATCAGTACAAACAAAAACAGAAATATGAGTTGCCAGTCAGTATTTTTTGCGTGTATACTCACAAAAATGCACAAATACACGCAAATACCACACTTCCTGCTTTATGTGCGCATACTCTCAAATATGCACGCTTGATATACAGCCCATCCTAGTGGTTTTTCTGCCAATAATGTCTGATGCTCATACATCAGTACAGTGTGCAAGAGGCCTTATATGTAGGTTACAGTAGTTCAACCTGACCCCTAGCAGCTGAAGCAGTTAGCATTCTCTAGGCTTTGTGGCAAGACAGACCTCTGGTCCACCGCTCATGTGGACAGTGATTGAAAAGGTTAGATACACTATTTAGATTTCTACTGTTCCTCCCACAGGAAAGCAGCACCTACTCACATCATAAGGATATACGGTATATAATAGCACCAGCATTAAGATGTGCTGGAGAGCAGTATGGTTGGACCCCTATTGCTGACTCCTCTCCATAATCCACACACCATTAGGATACATTTTAGGCCATGGACACGTGACCCCAGGTGTATAAGAGCTCTGTATACTGAGAAATTTACATAGCATTTGCAAAGCTTTTAACAAACTTCAGGCAGCTTTGTTAATGCTTTTTAAACCACTTGTCATCCTTGGGCTGTTTATAAAATGTCCTGGTCTGTAGGTGGTTAAAACAAGCTTATGGCTTCAGCTGCAGCTCACAACAGCTGCTCGATCACTTTTAGGGTACCAAGAAGGGCTGACGACTCAATCTCCTTGAGTAAAAAAGCCAGAAGAGACGAGCATCTTGTCACTTCCAGTTTCAGTTCATTCATTCCTCTACATGATCTGTGTTTGATTAACTGCAGTGGAGGGCAGGGGAGACTTTGAAGGTCTAATAGACCTCTGATGTTTCCATAAAAAGGACCTGTCACCTGCCCATTGCTTGTGATAGCAATAAGGTGAAATGGAAAAAAAAAACAAAAAACACTAAACTTTCAATAAAATAAAATCATTAAAAAATTGTAAAAGCAAAACCCCCCCCCCCCCCCCCGCACATATACATGCAAATGTGAGTGTAGGGCCTGCATGTGCATGCGAACAGCAATTGTGTCAAACATTTGAGGTATCACCATGAAGGCCATAGTGAGAGCAATAATTCTACGGGCAGAAATCATGGTTTTGAAGAAGTTTTTTTAAAGCATCACCAACATTGCGAACCATTTACCAGGGATGTTGAATTCATATTGCCCGATGCCCAGGAAATGTAGTTCCTGGCGCCAAGCAGGAAGTTTTTTTTTTTTTACCTTTAGCCCAGGCTTTCCCATCTGCAGACCTGGGACCGGCTCACTGCCGTCGGCTAGAGAGGAGGGAGGAGAGCGGAACATCCCCTCCCCACCCCTTTTTGTCCTGCCCGGAAGTGACATTATGATGTCACTCCTGGGTCCTCTTTGAAAGATTCCTGGCCATGGAGGCAGGGAAAGAATGTAATGCGGTGCGATGTGCACTGCATTACATTCAGGGGAACACAGAGGCGACATCCAGGGTCTTTTAGACCTTGGATGTTTCAATAAAGAGAACATGTCACCAAAAAGCATCCTATAGGGGACTTTGTCCTCTATGTGATAATATAAATAATAATAATAAAAAAAAAGTAAAAATAATGTAAGGCCTCTCAACCCCCACATATATGCACATACAAACGTAAAAACACGCTGGGGCGCCTACGCATGAAAACAACAATTGCGATACACGTTACATATTGCCACGCACGCCAGAATGAGAGCAGTAATTCTAGCACCAGACCTCCTCAGTAATGCTAAACTAATGACCTTTAAAGAAGCTTTAAAAGTGTCACCAATTCACGAGCGAGCACAAATTTAAGGTTTGACAAGTTGTAAATCTATGTACTAGTTGCAACCTCACCTTTATGTTTTACAAAAAAGTAGGGTAATTTATTGCTTTTTTTGTGGCCTAAAATTCACTTACTTGTATTTTTTACTGAACTTTTACAGTAATATCATGCAACCTAAAAGATTGTAACTACCACTATTTTATTTTCTAGGGTCTCTGCTTTCAGAAAATATATAAAATGTTTGTGGATTTTGTGTAATCTTCAGGCCTAAAAAAAAACACAACAACGGCTCTGACAGCAAAAGAGATAAAGGATAAGGCCGGTATTCCCCTTTCCTGAGAAGCACCCAATCATTACTCATTACACTGAAAGGTCTCTCCCCTCCCTGCTAGTCCCCAGGTGCGGTGCTTGAGTCAGGCAAAGAGGGGAGGAGGAGATATAAAGTGCAATGTTACAAATATTAAACGTTTAAGTCACCATAAAGCCTCTTTTACTTTTAAAAGCCCCAGACATTTCTAAAATCACCTCTGATTTAAATACGGTTTTGGTAAAATGTATTTGTTTTAATCTGGACAAGTAAATTGTCATGATTGACAAGTGGATTGGGACACCGATTTAGACCCTGGATAAGTAGTTTTTTAAAAATTTCCACACCTCTGATTTCACAGAAGCGCGCAACTGAGTCTCGACATGTTTATTACCTATTTATCCAGTGCAACCCCATCTTTTTTTTACCAATAAAAATGGCTATTATATTGTGTTTGTGAG